TTTGCCCTTTAGACCTTTCTGTGTTGCTAACCATTTCTCAACAGTCTTGACAAAATCTAAAGCAAAACGAAATCACACTCAATTTCAGGTACGCAGAACCTGTAACTAAATGCTACTAGAATTAATACCCGCGACTACGCTGCAGAACATTTAGTTGTATTTGACATCTCTAAAAATCATATATTTAAAATGGATATGGTTAGAATTATATGCAGAATGCAAGTATAAAAACTTTTGTTCAAAAGGTTTCTTATTATGCAAGACAAACTTACAATCATAATGATTATTTATAAAACTTAAGTTGTAAAGAGGTTAAGGTCGATGTATACTTTTCATTAACTTTGTAAGTTCTCTACTAAACCTACCCCGAGGAAATACCTTTGTACATATGAAACTCACTATTTTAGACATCAAATCAATACATACTCACATTATCTTTTGAAAAAATTCAAACAAATTTTGTAAAAAAGATAAGTCATTATTAGTCTATACCCAACATATCGAAGAAATTCAAAAATTGTGGAACAAAGTCACTAAAGTACTCCGTCTACGTAAAAAAAATGTTACATAGTAAGCAAATAAAAGATACACTCCTAACTGTGACCATGGTATTAAAAATGGTTAACCATTTAAGTTTATTGTGCTCCATCCTTTCCAGAATCCAACAAAACAACACGTGATTCTTTTGGCCGATTAGTCAACGTAAGCAATAGATCATAATAAGTACTGAAAATTTTCCCACATTGACCAACATCAACATATAGCAGTTGACACGTGAAATAGATTCTGAAATGAGATAACTAAAACTATGCAGAACTGAACATCAATTAACATTTGCAATAGTCATTCTTGAGGAGAAACCAAATCTTGCACATCCAATGACCAACATTTAAAATTAACAAACCAACAAAATCAAGAGGTAAAGGTAAATAATTAAGGCGAAACTAAACCAGTGCTACAGTAAAAGGATTAATCAATCTTTCCAACCCACGCAAGGGCAGAACGACATTAAATTTTGGTCGATAAGCCTCTCCTATTGAACAGGCCACTGAGGAAAGCAAAGAAAAGGAAAGACAGATTACAAACAGGAAAAAGGATCCAAACAGTACAGGATAATACGTGTTGTTCCTGGCGATCTTGGCTCTCAATCGGAAGTTGCAGTAAGTTGCCTGCACAGGAATTGGCTTTCAATCGGAAGTTGTTGTAAGTTGCCTGCAGATCGGAAGTTGCTGTAAGTCCAGCCACACAGGAATTGGCTCTCAATCGGAAGTTGTTGTAAGTTGCCTTCAGATCACTGGAAGTTTCCATGGTTACGCGTTGTTCCTGGCGATCTTGGCAATATGCAATGTCTCAGAGTCCTCATCCAATCATACACCACTGCATTCCCAACCTTTTTCGAAGCGCACAACCAATTGGACATATGTTGCCGAATTTCGAAGTATATCATCGTGGAGTCTCAGCAATGTCTTTTAAGATCCTGGCATTTCTTTCCAACCAAACACTCCAGCATAATACGTGCAAGAACATGTCGTTCTTGGTTCTGTATGCTCTCGAACCGCCCGATGAAGATTTGAGTGAAACACAAAGGCCCAGTTCCAAAACTGTCACCTGCAAAGCAACGAACCCTATACTCTAAATAGCAAGAACCGGATTGGAACTGCAAAAAGAGTAGCAATGTACATAATATTTTGCTCAAATGGAGGGGGGGGGGGGGCATGAATTCAGTAGAGCACAACCACAAAGAACCAACCAACAATAACTGCATCAGATTGTTTCCAACCTTTAAAAACATGTGATGATCAGTGAGCATAATTGTTCAAAAGCAAGAGAAGGAAAGTATTATAGAAAGCACACACTCTAATGATTGAGCACCCTCCTAGTAGGTTTAATCATGGTGATGTAAATCGAGTTAGATAACACCAGCAAGAACATTGACTAAGAAATAAGTCAACAATAAGTTGCATAAACTTTGGTGATTAATATTTCTGTAATGATCTAATTCACTTCGACCAAAGATAAAGTTTAGAAGTTGCAGGTTGGTTACTTTAGAGGATGTTTATGCGCAGAGGTCAGATCTAATTCTGGTTTAGGTTGCAAGCCAGATGGTAAAAGTAATATGGATAAACACAAACCGTTCGAGATTGGAGGAAAATTGACAAAGTGAAACAAACGAAAAAGGTAAAAGGAAGAACTGACCTTCTGAAGTCACAAAACCTTATTTCAATCCACTACTGATTTGAATAATTGATTAATTAAGGTAAAAAAACATACACATCCATATTTTGTATAAGTCAAGGAAGAAGATATGCACAAACATGAAGTAATCAGCAACTAAAGATCAAGGCAGAAATACAGAAAGCAACTATCATGATAAAATTCGATGCAGAACAACTACACGTGAAGCAAATAAGGTCGAGACATGTTGCATTGGAGCCCCAACAACAGGTTTGCTACTGGATTTATATAAAGTGGCGAGTGATTGAGTAGTCGAAGAGGAAGCTATGTAGATGATGATCACTGGGTTACATCTCTAGACAAACACAAACAATGATAGGAAGGAAGAAGATCTCAGATGGAAAGCTTTACATTTTCCATGAACTCAACAGTTACAAAACTTAATAGAAATAAACAACTCAGAAATAATCACATCATTTCAAGGAGAGTTGCTTACAGCATGATGCTCTCAAATTCTGTCGATTCAGCTTGGGTTTTTTAGATCACTACCATAAGTATTCTCAGCCTACATACCTGTTGGTGAACATACCTGTTTTGCATTATCCAGACACTATATTAGCATTTGATCCCAGCTCTTTGTTGCTTACTCATCAGATTCTGCAACAAACTTTTCTCCATCACAGCAAGCTACTGCCTTCCAGAACTTTTCTTCAAAGAACTGCAAAAAGAGATGGGGTGTCATGATGTTGGCATACACATATCGGATACCATTTCAACGTGACAGCACGACAAGGGAGAAGTTGCTGCAGAAGCACACAACCAAGAAAAAATTGCACATCAATCCAAATAATATAGATTGAGAAGCTCACATTAATTTATCTTGCAATGGCCTTAAGCTCTAATTAACTTAAGTATAACATAACAGAATATGGCATTAGAGACTCCAAATAGTTAGAATAGGTGACATGAAATTAACTCCTTAGTTGGTGTCTTTATAACAGACAAACAATTAAAGTCTTATAAGATCATGTATGCCACGTCTAGGTTCAAAAACCTTAAAACAACTTGAATTTGAAGTGTCATTATACTTCTTAACTTTCTCTACCTCTCTGGACAACCCTTATAATGAATCAGGTTGCCGATGTTGCAAAATTGAACTTGAGTTTACTATCTGTTGGAAACAAAGGCATGGAGACTATATGTTCTTCCCCAATTGAATCCCTAACCCCCAAAGAAAGTTACCATTCTTTGCCAAGGCCTTTGCATCCTCCACAAATCACCCAAAAATGCACCTGAAACAATCAATCATTTCAAACCAATAAGCTAATATGAAATGATTTAACAGCACAGTACAAACAAATGTTGAGTTGAAGCAATCATATAATTGAGAGAAACCAAACTGGATACTCAGTACACAGAACCACTTTCAATAGTCTCCTCATTGTAGCCCGTCGCAGAAAGGTGGGAAATGGCATCCTTGTGCTAAAACTCCGTATGCTTCAATAGAATCTGCTTTATTTGGTCCTCAGTGTAGCATCCCCACCCACTGTTATTGCCGTGGTAGTAGCTCTAAGCTCCTCTATGCATTTCCCTGAAAATGTAAAAATGGAGCCCACAGTTAACATTGAACCTTTTTTACATGTAAATCGATACCAACAAAATAAAGCATGGGGCGAACATGAAACTTCCCTGCAGCAACGCTCCTTCCATCCTCAATTCGAAGCAGACAAATCAATCAAGCTTTCTCCTCTCGTATCCATACCTTCTGCCGTCCCACTACTGCTTTAGAGTTCCATGGAGAACGAACTGAATTCCAACTCGAACCCGTCGTACTTCTCCTTTGCAGAAAGATACCAGAGAGGTGGTGGAATTGGGAGGTGGGAACCCTGAAGGGTCATAAGATTTGGCCTGATTGACATCATAAATGCAGCATATGCAGATGTCAAAAGGGTACTTGTTTATCGGCTTCCAAAGCCTAGCTACAAAGAACCAAACTAATGACATAAATCAAGGTTCTTTTATCAACAAACATGAGCAGGACCAACCAAAACACATAGTGATAGTAGCAAGTAGTAATCTGTTGTGAAGAGCACCAAAAGCATGTTGTATTTGTCGAATAAGCCAGTTTTGTACACATAAGGAGATATGCCATAGTAGACAGAACCAGATAAGCCAGTCTTTTAGTTCATATTTGGCTGGTCGTCAATTCTCAGAACCTTTATGGCAGTCGTCTCCTTCTTATGGAACAAAGCGCCAACATGCTTGCAGCAGAAATGAAACAATAACACAATATTAAAGGTCACTCAAAGATAGAACCACCAAATTAAAGTTCCACCAAACTCACAAAATCTTCATCCGTTTCTGAGCTACAGTCAACATTCATGGAGGCAAGCACTTCGTTGGCCAATCGACGTCTCTGAGAACACCACCAAAAACAGAATCCCAAAAATGAGAACTCACATTGTCAGATCTTACAAAGATCCGGACTTGGGACATGACTTATCTCAAATCTACTGCTAAAAAAGATGGAGAAAACAATAAAGAGAAAATCCACTCACCGTCGTCTTCACCACCCACCGGCGGGTCTGCCTCTTCCTCCTAGGTAAGGGCCCTCTTCTCCGGGCATTGTTCCTCTGTCCATGTGAGCTTGGAAAGGACAATATGATTCCATGAGGCTAGTGAAAGGAGGAGCGTAGATTGGAAAGAGACGTCGGAAGCCGAGAACTGGACGGAGGTGGGAGAGAAAGGGAGAGAACGCGAAAATGAAATAGGGCACAAACTGAGGTGAGAGAGGACCATGAACTAAGCAATCCGGCTTTGAGGGTTGGGAGTACCAGTACCCTAATCAAGGTCAGCAAAGCAAGTATAGTATGATTCATGGCCGCTGGCGTGTTTTGCAGAGGTTTCAGTAGGGTTGCTGTGCAGGAGAAGCGATGTCTGCATCAGCGGGCGTACAGAAGGGATGGGTGTTTGCTGGAATTGGGGGAGACCATGCAGGTGAGAGGAAGAGGTGAGTGGGAAATTTATTTGTTGTGAAGGCCTTTGAAAACCCACTAAACGACAGAAAGTGATACAGTAATTGAACCTAGCTTTTATATATACTAGAATCAATACCCGCCGCTATGCCGCGGGAAGTTATTTTGCAGCAATGGAGGTTCTGGAGATTATTCGGGCTTACATATTTGGACAGCAAAATGGCCACTGTTTTGCGCATGCCGACCGGATCAGAACCCACTGCAACGCCACCTACAAACAACCCAATATGCACAAAATTAGCCGGTGTTCTTCCATGGACAATGGAGATAAGCAGACGAAAGGCAGTCCAATAGAGCGACGAAAGTGTTGGAAAGTACAGTCTGCACGCAGAGATAGGTTATGGAGCAAAATGGGAAAGCGAAACTCATTACATAGCAGCTCGAGTAAGGGAATAAAAGTAGTAGAAGAAGAAGAAGAAAACAGAAGAGGCATCAGAGGAAAGCGAAACTCATTACATAGTCATGTTTAGCAACTGGGAATTGAAATTAGTAGGCAAGTGGGTAGTCGAGTGTTGTGTTTTACAAAATGCAAGCAGCTCATTGTACAAAAGGAAGTTAACTACTGCAGAAGGTGCCGCTGATGGAGAACGGCAGAGCTAAAGATGCAGACAGAACACATTTTTGGGCCATAGGCTAAGTTTGTTATTTCACCAACCTAAGATAGGGCGAAATTTGGAACACTAAATGGCAAATGCAAGTGGATCCCATATGGTGCGCCCGCAAACACCGAACTTGCAATGTCTGAGTCTTCTCCAGTGTCAATCTCTACTGTGAACGTTTTCCCGCTAACAGATTGAAGGCATGCATTCCTGGCAGTGTTCGTGAGGGCCAAGAACTCAGTTGCTGTTTTTTGGAGCAAGGAGATCCCTGCATCATTGTTGAAGAGCAACATTGCGGAAGTGGAGGTGTCGCGACAGAGGACATTGAACTGGAAACTGAAAAACGATATGGCATGAATGTTAAAAGAGACCAATCTTTGTGTTTCTTGTTAGTGTTGTTACTCTGATACGCACCTTGCAGTGTTTGTGATGTCATCAGAGGGATAGTGACAGTGACTTGTACATGTAGGAATGCTTCCTATTGTAATGAGGCACCAAACTGAAGACTGTTTTGAGGATGCACAGCAAAGCAAGGCAATGATCAATTATTTATTCTTCTAAAACACCAAGATTGAGGTAGCTTACATTGTATGAGGGGAATAGTTTTTTCTCAGCTGCTCCCAATTTCATGATCAGAGTCGTTTTGGCGGGCAGTTTATAGCGGATGTGCACAGGCTAAGGAGTGGGGGAGTGGCCGACGACCACCGGGTTGTGGACATGTGAGAACATGAAAATGTTATTTTGAGCTCGTGAGGGCAGTAAGAACCATTTTTGGGGAAAATCCAGGCACCGAGGGAACACTTTGATTTCAAACAGATGGTTCTTGGCATGCTTACGCATCTCTCAAGTGCCGGAAGCGTGGCTGATACGCTCCATGGATCACCCTTGTTGCAGCCGCGTTTAACAGACACAGACGTCCTACACATCAGAAGCACCCAAATCAAAGAGGGAATTATGGTGTGCTTACGCAATGAAGACATGTAATGAGGATGTTCTTCTATTTACTGTACCTGATGATGCGACAACCACCATGCTCGTGAAGGCAAGCAGAACAGGGCCATGCTTTTCTGCTTCCACTATTGATGCCTGAGATAGCTGATGATCGAGGGATTTGTAGTTGACCATAATAGTGTTCCCACTGCAACCACGGTCAATTTAAATGGAAAAGGTGGAACTATAAGAATGTGCGAAGACATAGTTGGAATGCAGTTGGTGAGAACAGAGGTACTTACATTGAATCTTCCAGCAGTGCACAGATAGTTGGCATGCCAAAGGTTCCGGTTTCTGTCTCCGAAACACTGACCAGCCGTCCCACAACATCTACAGACCACATTTGTAAAATGTTAGGTTTTCCTATGGCACATGTTGTCGCCATTTTCAGGGAACATGCGTATCTCTAAAGTCTGTCTTTGAATACAGATGATTCCTTAGAGCAGTGAAGGGTGTTGGGAAGAAGACAGATTTTGGGAACCATGGGCAGTCTGGGTCCTCTGGTAGTTCACGGAGTTCGGTTGTCTCAGTCAGCAGAATGCGCACTTGTGAGGTGCAAGAACGTAGGGACCGACGACATCTTTTTGTGACAACAGAGGGAATCATGTAAATCTTATCGATGCGCAAAAAGTCTGGTATTTCTCCTGCTAGGCAGACAAGTGTGTATCCTTCAATCAGCTCCTCCTGGAAGTTTGTGAGACAATGAGGAGTAAATATAAACAGCAAGGAATGGTTTAGATCGTTAAAACTAACTATGCAAGTGAAATCACGTCTTGGAACTTTTCACTATGAAAGAAAAGCATGGCATGAATATATACTCCAACACTCAGTTACTGGAGCTGCAAAGGAGAAAGTACTTGATCGCAGTGTGATCAGGACTGGCGTAGGAGTAGTTTGTTGGTCTGAACTGAATTTATATTTGTTTTTTGCAATGTAGGCATACATATAACCATTGCCTACGTTACATATGTTCTACTTTTGATAAGAAGCATTCTGTGGTAGGGGTAGATTCCGGTTTTCATGAAGTTTTGGTTTTTCTTAGAAAATATCCAAGGTTTATGATGAAGACAATGCAACACGCTGATCGTGAGCAGTGTTAACTAATGTTTCAAAACCACGGTTCAAAAGCTTAGAAAGTAAAAGGTTGGCCGAGAAGACCACAATCCCACTATAGTTCTATTTGGCAAAATTTCAGTTTAGAGAGGCAAGCAAATATAAAAGCATAATAAACATATATTCATGTCAGACAACTGTAATGCAAACCAGATCCACTTAATGCATTCTGTGTTGAGTTTAAGTTTAAGGAAAAGAGAGCATCGTACCACGCCAGAGTGACAGATTGAGGCTGGTAAACGCGCCAATAACAGGTGCAGCAGCATCCACCTGAATGAGTTTAGCGAGAGGTAGTTTGTCCGCAAAGTCTGCCCACAGTGTGATGGAGAGGTGACAATTCCTGCAGGTGGATAGTCCAGCTGAGACACCATTGCAGGGCATTCGCGTCCAAATCATATGGAAGAAAGAAAGCATACCGTTCATTTTCAATAACAACAGTCTGTTTCTTAACAGAACGTTCTTGTTTCTGGAAATAAGTGACAGGCGTCACGAACACCAGACGGCCCACAACATCTACAGTGAAGAAGTGTGTGAGGATTCAAGTGGGGAATGCATTCGATTTGCGGAGTGGAAGCAAAGGGAACTTACAAACCAAAGAAGTAGGCTGAAAAGCCATGGCAGGGAGGTCCTCAAAGCTGCGAAATTCAAAGGAATCAGCGCAGAAGCTGTCTTCGTTCTGGACGGAGAGACGAACGAAGTGCTGGAAGTGAAATGCAAGGTCCTCTCATTGGAACAGGCTGCCCAGCGCTTCCGCGATTCACGCTGGGTAAAGTGTGTCACAAAGTAGACCTCCCCGACAATGAGGCAGGTAAGATGTGAAGCCAGCTGACGCGCTGCAAGGCCCTCCACCAGTTTACCCTAGGAGAAAAAGGAAACCGTTTAGTAAGAGCTAGCGAGGTACACAGTGAGTGGGGAGCAGAGAAGAGACGAAACTCACCAGCTCATCTGTCCACAACGTCGCAAACTCGACAAAGCCATCCCCGCGCCATGGATTGCCGGCAATCCATGTATGGAGAAGGCGCAATTTCAGAACCGGCGCGTTGTCGGTCCACGCTAGTTTGGAGAGGACGGTGTAATTCATGGTGGGTTGAGAAGAAGATGCCATTGTGATGACGGCGGTGAATCAATGAAGAGGAAACAGGGGGACGGGGGCTAAGCTGCGGCTCGACGGGCACTGTAGGAGAAGAAACCAGGACTACGCGGGTTCTGATTCCGAAAGAAAGGGTAGACGAGAGTTGAATGGAGAGGAAATTGGGGAATGGGGAAGTAAGGCTAGCTTGAACGAAGGCTGGAAGACAAAACCAAGACCCTGCGCGCATTCCGAGGCCAGAAGATGGACAGGGAGCATGGTCGTTGGCGTGTGGGAGGAGCCATCGAGTCGGAGAAGCAACCCGTAGAGGGGGGATTGACGGAAAGGAGCTGTACATCCGGGAATTGGGGAGAAAGTACATTCTCAACTGGGGAATTGGGGACAAAGTACATTCTCAACTGCTATGCACAAAGGAGGTGAGGGAAACGGTGGGCAAAGCCGAGCAGGGCTCATCTACGAAATGGAAGCAAAGGGAAGCTAGGAAGCGACAAAATAATATACGGTAACACTGCATTTTTTACCAATAAAGCGTAGTCACCTTTTATGGTTTAAAGAATATATATATATAAGGAACACTTTGTTGGCCAATCGACGTCTCTGAGAACACCACCAAAAACAGAATCTAAAAAATGAGAACTCACATTGTCAGATCTTACAAAGATCCTAACAACGCTTTGTTGTTGGAAGAGAAAAACCTAGATTGTTTCATTACCATCCACTGCTTAAATAGCTAGAGGAGGAAGTGTTCAGTGTCTTACAAAAGAGGTAAAGGAGACAAACTTGGGTCTGAAGGTAGTACAGCCCGTAAAAGGAAAAAAGACATAAAACAGGAAATTGGGTATCAACTGGGAAGTTTGTCAGTTCCACCAGAAACGACATCGCTCCACGATCGTTTAGTCATTAGTTGCAACGACATCGCTTCGGCTTGAGGAGATCTTCCTTCCTTCAACGACACCGGATCAACGTGAAGAGAGTGTTGGAAATTCAAGTTTGAATTTTTCCCTAATACCCCCCGGCAAGCTGGAGGACACAAATTGTGAACTCCAAGCTTGGAGAAGAGAGCTGCAAATGTCGATGGAGGAAGTGGTTTCGTGAACAGGTCAGCGAGCTGATGCAGTGTGGAGACATGGAGAAGCTTGATCGTGTTGGATTGGAGCTTCTCACGAACGAAGTGGCAATCTAATTCGATATGCTTAGTTGGTTCGTGGAAGGTTGGATTCTCGGCGATGTGGATGACGGATTGGTTGTCACAGTAGATTGTGGCAGGCTGCGGGTGAGGAATCTTGAAGTCCTGCAGAAGATATATCAACAATTGGATTTCAGAAGCAGTGTGCGCAAGGGCGTGATACTCCGCCTCACAAGAAGACCTAGAAATTGTGGTATGCTTCTTGCTTTTCTAGGAAATCAAGGAATCCCCGAGATAAACACAATAGTCAGTGATTTATCGGTGGGTGTCCACCCACGCAGCCCAGTCAGAGTACTGAAGGCTTTGAGCTGGATAGCAGAAGAAGGGAAGAAGATTCCATTCGATGGAGCAGACTTCAGGTATTTCAGAATTTGAATCACTGCTTTGTAATGAGTGGTAGATGGGTTGGACATGTACTGGCTTACTTGCTGTGTAGCATAGCTGATATCTAGCCTTGCTGTAGTTAGGTAGATAAGCTTCCCTACTAGTCTTCTGTAAGCCTCTGGATCAGGGTAAGGGTCATCATGGTGAGCAGATAGATGCAATTTGTAGTCCATGGGTGTGGTAACAGGCTTAGCAGCCAGGACATCAGCATCTTGTAGGAGTTCCAGTGTATATTTCATTTGTGAAATGTGAATCCCTTTACTACTTCTTGCAACTTCAATGCCGAGAAAAAACTTTAATTCACCCAAATCCTTAATGCTAAACTCATGGTGGTGGAAAGTCTTGAGATGATTGATTTCTTTAAGGTCAGTACCACCAATGACCAGGTCATCGACATAAACAAGAATGTAGGTATAGGACTGATCAGTAGACTTGTAGAAGAGAGAGTGATCTACCTTACTTGAAGTGTAGCCTTGGGTGTGTAATGTATCAGCCAGCTTGGAAAACCACTGGTGAGAGCCTGTTTGAGGCCATACAATGACTTTTTAAATCTGCAAATAGGGTTAGTCATGCCTGGTGGTGGTTTGTAACCCTGGGGTAGTTTCATGTAGACCGTTTCTTCTAAATCCCCGTGTAAAAAAGCATGATTGATGTCCAGTTGGTGGACATGCCATTTATGTGCTGCTGCAAGTGTAAGAAACAACCTTATGGTGGTCATTTTGAGTACTGGGGAAAATGTGTCCTAGTAATCAACTCCCTCTTGCTGGCTATAACCCTTAGCAACAACTCTGGCTTTGAACCTTTCTATACTGCCAGTAGGGAGCAGTTTAATTTTATAAACCCACTTGTTCTCGATCAATCTGACCCCTTCAGGCTTCTCAACAACATCCCATGTCTGATTCTTGTCAAGGGCATGAAGTTCATCAATCATAGCTGCATTCCAATAGGGTGAGAGGATTGCCTCTGAATATGTGACAGGTTCCTTGTGGGAGGATATGCTGAGTACAAAATGTCTATAGGAGGGAGATAAATGATCATACTAGATTACAGAGGAGAGTGGATATGTCATACCTGGAGACTGCTGCATAGGAGGATGGCTGGAAGAAGAAGCCTGCTGAATTAGGTTGCAATGGTTTTGTTGTAGATGAGGAGGGGGTCTTGTTTGTCTATTGGATTTACGTAGTGGGTGTGGAGGAGGAGGAGGAGGAGGGGGGGGGGGGGGGAGAGGGTGGTGGGGATGATGAACCTGAGTCTGCATCTTCTGCAGAATCAGGACTCTCATAGTCAGTGTGATTGTGGAGGTCTTGGATGAAATTGGGTGGGCCAGATGGTCTAGGGGTGTGTTGGTTGGGTTGGTATGAAGGGCTAGGATCATCAAAAAGTGCAGGAGCTGTAGGCTGACTATATATTGCAGGTGTGGGAGGAGTAGCAGTGGGGATTTGAAATGGAAAATGGTTCTCATAGAATTGTACATCCCTTGAGACAAAGATGTCATGGGTGGCTAGATCATAAATTCTATAACCCTTAATTCCTGGAGTGTACCCAATAAAAACACCCTTTCTAGCTCGTGAATCAAATTTGGATCTGTGATTTGTCAAAGTGCTGGCAAAGCACAGACAGCCAAAAACTTTAAGCTCAGTGAGGTTTGGTTTGGTATAATGAAGGAGTTCAAATGGGGTTTTATTTCCCAAGACAATGGTAGGAACCCTGTTAATCAAAAATACTGCATGTTTCACACAATCCCCCCAGAAACCTACAGGTAAATTGGTCTGATATTTGAGTGGCTGGCCCCTGCAAGTATATGTTGGTGTTTCCTCTCAACTTTACTGTTTTGTTGAGGGGTTTCAACACATGAAAGTTCATGAAAAATTCCAGTTTGGTTAAAAAAATCATTCATTTGGAACTCTCTGCCTTGGTCACTCCTAATTTTTCTAACAAAGGTTTGAAATTGTCTTTCAGCATGAAGGCATAACTGCTGAAGTTTGGTTCTGGCTTCTGCTTTTGTTTGCAGAAGGATGATCCATGTCATCCTACTAAAATCATCTACAATGGTTAAAAAATACTTATAACCATCATAACTTGGAGTAGGGTTGGGTCCCCATATGTCCACATGTATTAATTCGAAAGCACTTGTAGTAACATTAGAACTACAAGGGAAAGGAAGTTTCTTTTGTTTTGCAAAATGACAAACATCATAGGGTAGTGACCTATCAGTTTCTATGGAATTACAAATCTGTTTCAAATGTGGAACTTTGGAATGAGAAACATGTCCAAGGCGAAAATGCCAAAGATCAAAAGACTGTGCACTAAGAGCTATGATGTGTTTTGGTTTTTTAGGGAGGGAAATGTTGTTGATGTGGTAGAGTCCATGGAACAATTCAGCATAACCAGTCATCCTCTTCTACTGCATATCCTGGATCAAACATGTATTGAAATGAAAGGTTAAGGAAAGAGACTTGTTTCTGGTGAGCTTGCTTACAGAAACAAGGTTAATACTGAATTTGGGGACAAATAGGACATCCTCAAGGGTTAGATCAGCAACACAGGTAACAGTTCCAACATGAGTTGCTTGGACTTGCTCTCCTGTTGGTAATGTGATATACACACTGTGTATTGGTCTAGGATTGACAAGATGATCAATGGAACATACTATATGGTCTGATGCACCCGTGTCCAGAATCCAAGTATGATGATAAGGCAACTTATTAGGGGCACTGAAGGAGTATTTACCTGAGGATGAGAAATCAGTAGTAGTGAAGGCAGCAGCTGAGAAGGAAGGACCAGAACTGGTTTGAGGCTTCTGGTTGCTGCTGTCTGCAAGGAGGCGCATGAATTTGTCATAATCAGCCTTGGTAAGTTTGATCTCTTGTTGATTGTCAATAGGTGGTGATGTTGCAGCTGTGTTTGCATAGGATCTGCCCTTAACATTGGTTCATGGGTTTGGTGGGTATTCATGCTTCACAAAACACCTATCCTCAGTGTGGCCTTGGCGTTTGCAGTGAGTGCATTCAAGAACCTTGCCAGTGGAGGTGCTTGTCCTCGGATTCATACTAGGAGGCCAGCCATGTTTATGGTAACACACATCTTCAGTGTGACCATGGAGTTTGCAGTGAGTGCAATAAGGCCTAGCCCTCCTGTTCTGTAAGTTTCAAGTTTGAGAAGCCAAAACAGTAGAATCAGCAGCAAGGGCCTTACTTAGTTGTGTCCCATAGATCTGTCTTTCATGTTGGAGAACCCTTTGAAAAACCCTATCAATTGTAGGTAGTTCATCTCCAAAAAGAACTTGAGATCTAATAGTTGTATAGTTATCATTCAATCCTCTGAGGAACTGAATGACAGAGTTAGTATCTCTATAGAAGAATACTTGTTTCATAGCCCTATAATCAGTGTGGCTAGTAGGGGTGCAGTCTCAAGGTTCAAGGGGCTGATAGTTATCAAGCTCATCGCGCAAAGCAATGAGATTGCCATAATATTCTGTAACAGACTGATTACCTTGATTGATAGAGGCCAAATCTTCAACAATTTCAGCGATTCTGACCATGTCTCCTTGTCCATATCTGGAACGAAGGCTTCTCCAAGCCTCATAGGCTGACACGAAGGACATAATTGTTTTCCTGATTCCAGGTTCAACCGCCTGCTGTATCCAAGCAAGTACCATGATGTTGTTCCTGGTCCAAGACCGGTGTAGGGGACTATCTCCTGCTGGTTCTGTCAAAACTTCATTGATGAAGCCGAGCTTGTTCTTGGCTCCTAGTGCATTAAACATAGCTTTACTCCAGTCGTTGTAGTTAGTGGTGGTTAGTTTCTCACCCACTAGCTACAACCCTGGTTGCTCAGATCCATGGAAAAAATAAGGATCTGCCATAGGATCGACATTCACTTTAACATTGTTGTTGTTGTTGTTGCCCGCGGGAGCAGGTTGTTCATTGTTGGTAGCTTGCTGGTTGTTGTTCCCAGCTTGTTGTTGCACTTCCATGGCGGCTAGGGTTGTGTAGGCTCTGATACCATAACAACGCTTTGTTGTTGGAAGAGAAAAACCTAGATTGTTTCATTACCATCCACTGCTTAAATAGCTAGAGGAGGAAGTGTTCAGTGCCTTACAAAAGAGGTAAAGGAACAAACTTGGTCTAAAGGTAGTACAGCCCGAAAAAGGAAAAATAAGACATAAAACAGGAAATTGGGTATCAACTGGGAAGTTTGGAAATTGGGGGAGACCATGCAGGCGAGAGGAAGAGGTGAGTGGGAAAATTTATTTGTTGTGAAGGCCTTTGGAAACCTCTAAACGACAAAATGTGATACAGTAATTGAACCTAGCTTTTATATATAGAAAGAATGATAGAACAATAGCTTCCCTTCAGACCATCGTTGAGGCATCCTAAAATTTCCCAGCAAATGGCAGCCTTTATTACCAACAACAAAACCAAAACAGTTAGTTAAAAGTAAAAACTCATCCCCACTCACCCGGCTTATCATCCATAATCGTCTACCATAATGATATAGTAACAAACTAAGTTTCTGCCTCTCAAAAAAGGAAATGACAAGGAAAAAAAGGCAAGTGTTCTTCTGTCACTCTGTTCGAAAACTCCATCCCAAATATGCAGAAAGAGAGAATATAACCGCAAGAAAGGACAGTCTGTCTACAAGGAGATGAGGCCATTGGATGGAGTTTATGACATGGTGGTAAGAACCTCTGTCACTGAAGCCATTACACTCAAAGCAGCCTTGAGAACTTCAGGCGAACAACCTGGTTTCACTATGGTACGAACCTGGAAACCTACATACAAACAAAATGTCAACTTCTAAATCCTCTAAAGTACATAATCCACAGAGAATCCCACTCCATTAGCTAATCATTATTAACTAATGTGGCAGAAGGTGCGATCTATTCTAATTCAGTAGCATTCATTACCGGGTTTAGCAATGACCTGTTGATTAAAGCTTCCACTATGACTTTATACAAATGAGCACTAGGAAACAAAATGAAAGAAAAGGAACTGAGAGCGAAGTGTGATCTAATAACATAACAACTCACCTTTTCCAAGTATTCCTGCATTCTGCCCATGTAATCTTGGTCTTCAACGCACGAAGTCACAGCTTTGGCATCTGGCCCTGGACCGTCAAACTGAAGCGGCCCCGGGTTTCTGTACAGATCATCCAACAAGAATCTCACTGCATTTTGTCTCAGCAACCAACAACCATGTAGAAGCCACGTTGTAATCCTTATTTCCATGTTTTAACTCAATACAGAAAACAAGGGGGGATTAAAAGAGGAAGTTGGAAACACTCACCCATATGCTTTGCCATTCAAGTAAACAGTAGCTGGGTGAATAACAGGTTTTCCACTTGAAGATGCTCCGGGACTTTGTGCCCATCAATTCACAGTCGACATTGCCTAAAATTCACAGATCACGGAAGTCAGTGCAATATACCAAGTAAAGATAGATCTTAAGGTGCTGCCATCTACAAGCATTATCAAATAGAAATTAGAAAGTAAATAGATGGAAGTAGAAATACTGTGATTGGGGCAGCAGCGCAACGCCATTTATTCACAGGGTTCTTGAAGTTAGTAAGAGTTGCCATGTAACCATTTAAATCTGCCGCAAGAATATGGTAAGCATATGTGAGTGTGACTACTCATCTTTCTTTAGAAACAATTGTGCTTATGAGTGTAAGATGTGAAACCATAAACCAATTCAAGAAACCTAAAGTAAAGACATTATCCTTTGTGGAATAGAAGCAATTCCGATTTTGTTAGAAGTGCTAGGTACCTTCAGTAGTGCATACACCTTAGGAATACTTCCAATTAGACCCTCTGGTAGTAGAATAACTCTGTGGTTATTATCTGGTGCAATCATGTTGGATTATATTACATAAAGAAAAGAAGATGACTTGAGAGAGATCTGAAAGGTTTTCAAAATTGTTCAAAATCTTGTTCTGCTCTGGCTTGGACTGCATCACAAATCTGCTTAGTGATGTCAAACAAAGTAAGTTTTGATGCTGCTACCTCTTCACCAAGAATGACCCGAAACAGGAAAGTAATGTGAACAAGCAAGAATGACACTGCACTACAAAAGATTCTTCTATATATAAAAGGTGGGTACACTTTATTGGCCAACATCTATGTTACTGTTTCACTTCTTGGCGTTTAGTGCCCCTTCAGAATTCCTCCTTCTAAGGTGGGTACACTTTATTGGCCAACATCTATGTTACTGTTTCACTTCTTGGCATTTAGTGCCCCTTCAGAATTCCTCGGCAAAATGGCTTGGCCCAGCTTATTGCGGAAAGCTCCTCTCCTATCCGGCATTGTTGCCCGCCCCAACCCAGCAAGACATTCTCTGTTTCTGCTGCAGCTACCTACCATGCTTTTTACCTCTGCTCCTCTGACCAAAATTATTTCTCCACATTACCTCTTCTTCGCTCGCGCACGCTACCGCCCATGTCGACTGTACACAGCTGTTTGGACATGGCACCAGCCAATCATTTGTACGGTACAGACCAATCAACAACTCCATTGTGCACTGAGGGAAACATGGGCTTCTGCGGTTTCAATCTTTCAACCTCATTTTGGTCTTCAATTGGAATTGGTATTCTTTCTCTCTATTCCCAGATTCTCCCCCAATTCATCCACCAGCTTTTTATCTTTGCTTCCCCCTCCATCTTCCTACGCCAACCCTAAAATTTTCCTCTATCGTCGGAAGTCGTGAAACCCGAACGTGGTGGAATACGAGATCAAATACTATTTGGAAGAGGAGTACACTGAGAATGAAGCCGACGAGAAGAAAGGGGATCTGCCAGGCAGGGTGCCATCGCGGAGTACATCTCCGCTCTCGCCTCCTGGAAGTGTTCCTCACCTTATTCCCCATCTCTCTTTGTTTTGCTGATGGAAGACGAAACAGCAGGCGAAGCTGAAAAGGAAAATCACGGAGGTCGGAGAAGGAAATGAAGACGCTCAATGAATTCTGGACTGATTTTGTCGGGACTTTCACCTCGCAATAGCGACAGAGTTACAAGTACGGTTTTCACTACCATGAATGAGGAAATCTTATATTAGCTCTTGGGAGGGAAGGTTTTGTGTTTTCCTACTTGAATGTGCTTTTTTTTGGCGTGGGAACGAATGAATGAGTACAATTAATTAGTTGCCGTTTAGAATTCTCAGGATGGTTTTTGTTCAAAGGCTGCAACCTCGGCTTCTCATGTAATCAATCACTCCCTTTGTGTTTCCCTTCCAGTTCTGGCTTCTGAGTTGCTGCTCCGCCTTCCATGGAGTCATTGGTCGATGATGGAGCAGTTGGCCCTTCAATAAAGACCACCAAGAAATCATCGGTTCCAATAGCCCCAGCAGCCTTCCTTTTATCTTCTTCTCAACATCGTGGTCCCAGCCTCTTAAACAGATATGCCTTCATACTCTAATGGTTCTATGGATCATGGTGTGAAGGGCTTTGGAACCGATCTGCAAGCTAGAAGCATTTGGTCGATGGCCTCCTTTTCATTGTAAGTTGCTCATTAAAGGTTTTTGTTTCCCCCTGTACTTTGAAGTTTGAACCTTTACTATTAACCGTAGTCAGATTTGGGTTCTATTTATGGTGTAGTGATTCTAGATGTTTACAATGTTGTTTTCGATGTCGTATTCTCCTTATTGTTAGTTTGTTGGCTGACTGTATGAGAAAATTTTAGTCGAGTTTGCATATCGCCCAAGCATTACAGTTAAACGAGATTTCTGTTGGTGATTAGAAATTAGATGCTACAACACGGAAGCTTGCCCCACACTTGAACTTGACCTCTCTCAGCAGTTCATCTACCCCTTGAAATCCCACAACAGCTGCATCACCATGTCATTGAGTTCAGAGTGCTAATTATCTTCCATGTTGCCATACAATTCCACCCCCACCCCCCCCTAAATGAGTAGTCCCTATATAGGTTGTTCATATTTTAATTTTCCTGGGCTTGCGCAGCTTTTCAACCTGATAAACAGTTCTAGATTTGGTTACCCAATGGCGGTGCTTATCTCAGCGGTTGTTTCCGCACAACAAAATATGTTTTTGCATATCCATGTTGGTTGTGGTTATCCTGCCAGTTTAATTTCAGGCCATTCGAGTTTGTCTGTCTTCATGTTTATATGTTGATTCTTGATTTAGTTAACATTGCGAGTGTGGTTTTAGAGTATCCATTGTGAGTAGTGAGATTAATAGGCAAAGGTGACATCAATTTGGGTGTGCTTATGTTAATTCTTACGAAATGCTTTGCTGCAATTTTTTATATGTTTAAACCACCAGTTGCTTTCATTGGCATGCCTACTAGAAGAATGTGAGGTAGGGAATTATTAAGTGGTTTGATTCGAAATTTTTAGGCTACTCATAAGCTTGCGTTCTTTATCCATGTGTCTTTCCGGCAATACATTTTCACGATATACAAAAGTTCTATAAGGGTTTATTTGGTTTATGTATCTCTTCCCTTTTCCTTCTCGCGTATAAGATTTTGCCTGCTACAATGTGTTCCGTCTTATCCATTATGATGTGTTGAACTTTCTCTCGCCTCTAAGCTCACATCCGTCTTATCAATAATGATTTTTGTGTAGTTCTACTTTCTCCTGGGTTTAAAAGATTGATCAGTCCTTTTACAGCAAAACTGACCTAGGTTCACCTTCATTATATACCTTTACTTCTTGATGTTGTTGGTTTGTTGCTTTAAGATGCTGGTCATTGGATGTGCAAGATTTGGTTTCTCCTGAAGAAGGGCAAGATTGCAAATGTTATTTTTTGTTTAGTTCATCATAGCTTTATATATCTCAAGTGAGAATCTCTTTCAGGTGCGGGCCAACTGTTTTTTCATTAAAGGAGAAGATTCATTCATCATTCGATCCCCACGCCTTTAGGAAGGATATACTACAAAAGGGAAGCGGGTTGACCATCTAAAACGTCTCTGTCGGAGTTCATGGGAGTTGGGAAGAAGACTGCTGCAAGGATTGTGGATTTGATGCAGGTTTAAAGTCAGCTCTTACTTTAGTTTTGTTTGTATCCAAGTAAATACATCGTTTGCCGTGATTGAGTGAGAACATAATTTCATCAAAGGCAGTGCTTTGCATTTCCCCTAAAGTGTACTATGTGGTGACGTGCTAATGTGGGTTTGGTTTATGGTTAGGTGTGCAGTCTAGCTTGGACCAAGAATGTGAACGAGTTGGTGAGCACTAAGGGGTATTCCTAGAACAAATCATTGTGAGGAAGTGTCCATTATCAAATGTATCTTCGTCAATGAGCTCAGTAGCTAGCCAAGCAAACTAACTGAGCTCTTGACGATGTGGTTTAGAGAGAGTGAAGCTAATGTCATGGAAATCTTTGACAATGCTAGACAGCAGCACCATGTGTCCTTTTCTTGGACGGGCTCGACTCCAAAGCAACTCAGGTATAGTTTTTGTCCCTTAACTTGAACTTTTGGACTTTAATTGCGCCATGTTGTTAGTTTTGATTCTCATTTGCAGTTATGTACCATTACATATAGGTGGCAGTGTTGGAGAAACAAATAGATCTTGATGATGTCGTTGTCGGTGTCACTGTAACTATTGCTGCTGGGCTTGCTCTTACCGATGAATGAGTGCAAGTGAGATGGAGGAGGATATTATCTTTCTTGCTGCTGTAGTATTAAGAATTAAGGTAATTCATGCAAGTGTCGTTGATCCTGATTCAGTACTTACTATATGATCTTTTAGTCGTTTTATGGACTTAGGAAAGGAAAGATCCCAGTGACCTTAGTTCTCTTCAATTAAACATTGAATTATATTGACGATTAACCATTCTTTTAATACCATGGTGACAGATTGGGAGTGCACCTTTAATTTGTTTACTTTCGCTGTTGTAAGTAGCATTTTTTTAGGTATAGGAGTACTTTAGTGACTTTCTCCCACATATTTTAAAGATTAATTCAGTTTCGTTGGTACAGATTGATGACGAGTTCTTCTATTTCCACTAAGAAAATTTCTCGGATTTTATCAAAAGATAATGCGAGTATGGATTGGTTTTATGTTTGGAATAATGAGCCTCATCCGTAAATAGGTATTTCCTCGATGTAGGTTTGGTATAGAACTTACAAGCTAATGAAGAGTTTTCATGGTGTCTAAGGTAACTCTTTTCAAACTTATGTTTTGTAAATAATCATTATGATTGTAGGTTTGTCTTGCATAACAAGAAATATTTTGAACAAAAAAGTGCTATTTGATGTATGCATATAATTTCTATTTCTAACTATTGTGTTATGAGTATACGCCTTTCAAAGACGCCAAATACGATAAAAGTGTCCCCGCGGCGTAGCCGTGGGTATTGATTCTAGTATCATATAAAAATACATGAAACTAAGAAACTAGTGAATCAATGAATCCTAACCATATTGGGATGAGATTGAGGAGTGCACTCCAAGGCAACATGAGAAGCTTTTACGACCCATTAGTCGAATAAAATAGGGTTAATATTTTCGTATGGCCTGAACTTTGACCAAAGTAAACATCCTGGCCAATCTTTTCGATCTATAACATTCTGGCCCGAACTATACACCAAAGTAAACAATTTGGCCAAATCAGGGTTTTGACCGTTAACTTCGACGGTCAAACGCGTTGACTAACGGTCAACGCGCCATGTCACCGCCAACTCAGCAATAAAAAAAAATTTTAATTTCCACCTAGCCCATTTAATTTCCACCTAGGTCTTTTCTCAATTTGAAGACGGAAAAAAAAAACCCACAAATAGATGTCATCGGCGGCGGGCCTCTTCTGGCCGAGCGCCGCCACGGGTGGGTTCGAGGAAGGGGTTCGGCGGTACGAGGATGTGAGCGGCAGGGCCACCGGCGGGGAAGGGGAGAGAGACGGAGATGGGTGGCGATGCTGCTGCTGTTTCTTGGTCGCGGTGGCGGGGAAATTAGATCCGATCAGGCCGTCCAATCGGTCGAAGAAGGGCCAGGAGGAGGTGAGGACACCGTTGGAGGCGGTGATCCTGGTCTTCTCGACCTTGTACTTCTTCTTGATGGTGTCGATCCGGTTCTTGCACTGGACATCGGTGCGGTGGGTCTTCTTGGTGAGGCCATGGATGGCGTTGACGGCGGCGGCGACCTCTTTCCAGTCGGTCTGGCGGAGGTTTCCCCGGTTGAGCTCGACGTAGCGGTTGCCCCAGGCCTCGACGAGCGTGGCGGTGGCCTCTTCGCTCCAGCAGTCCTCCCTGATGGGGAGAGGGCGGGAGTTAGGGTTGCTGGAGGGAGTGCCGGAATCCGTTAGGTCGCCCATGGAGGATGGATTGCGGTGGAAGGGGAATCAATCGATCGGCGGCGGGCGGCGGGCGGCGGTGGTGGAAAACCTAGGTTAAAGATTGGAAAAGAGGGGAAGGGGGATTGAACGGAGAGAAAAGAGAGAGAGAAGAGGGTAAAAGAGGGGAAGGTGTCGGTGCGGCGAGGGTGACGCGCCGGACGCATGAGGGCGAAAGATTAGGAGTGGGGAAATAAAAAAGAGAGAGGAAATTAATTTTTTTTTTATTGCTGAGTTGGCGGTGACATGGCGCGTTGACCGTTAGTCAACGCGTTTGACCGTCGAAGTTAACGGTCAAAAGTCTGATTTGGCCAAATTGTTTACTTTGGTGTATAGTTCGGGCTAGAATGTTATAGATCGAAAAGATTGGCCAGGATGTTTACTTTGGTCAAAGTTCAGGCCATACGAAAATATTAACCCAATAAAATAATAGTACTGCAGAAGAGACAACAGGGTAAAATCTTTGCAATGACTGGGAGTAAAGGCAATATGAGAGAATTCGTTTATCAATTACCATCAGAGCAGTGAATAAGAAAAATACTGGTATACCTTCTCAGCAGAAAGAGCATCAGTACACATATTGCTGATGAGCTGGGAATTAACCTGCAGAATGAAAATAAATGAGACTGCACATTCAATGTTTGAGAACCGGAGTTTCACTGTTTAGCATAACATGAAGAGTAGTTTTCAAAAAAGTACAAGATGAAGCATTATAGTAACCAAACTTAGCAGATTGTATCAAACCCAACATTAGTTTCCACAAATTGATTCTTGAGATCTCCATTCAAAGTAACAGGGACACTAACCACCTGCAAAGTGCAAAAGCATCAATTATTGAAGTAATGAGAAAACTGGAAAATCTTAAACCAAGCATCTAAAGGACAGAACAGCTAGCATCTCAATTCAGCTTTAAAATGCATACAAATGTACCTTGGTTGGACACCCTGCAGCTGCAAACATCTCAGCAAGTTGAGCAGCATCCGTATTTGATTTAACCCCTTTGGATATGCGTAGCAGGAATGGTTAGTAATACTTCAAAGTTCATCATGTTTTGTTGACGTAACCTTAGGGACTAACCCTACCTCCAATGATAGCAAGGGCATCCAACATAAGATCTGTGCAGGCAGCCAACGCTGCATTAACTTGTTCAGTTGTTCATATCTGATCTTTGGTCCTTCCAAGCAAATCATACCCACTTTGCAGAGTGCGATCATAGAACAACTTACTCAAACTGGATAGGTTTTTGAGAATAGACAATGTCAACATGACTGTTACATGATTCTATTAGGTACCTTGATTTTTGTACGTAGAGAGAATGTTGTCAGCGATTTCAAGAGTTTTCTGTGCAAACAATCCCTCGGACCAACCTGTCAATAGAATATTGTCATATGAAGCACATCAATTGCAGTGTATCTAAGATTACTCCTTCAACTGAAGGCTTTTGTTTCGTTCACGGAATCATTAATTTACAAACAGTGATGTTGGCAAAAAAAAAATATTACCAACCATCATCCAACAATTTTTTTTGGTAAGCCATCAAGAGCAGTTACATCATGCTTAGCTTTTGGTTGATTGACTGACTGATTCTGAACTGTACAAGTCTCCAAAACCTCAATCAGAAATCAAAGAAATGAACAAGAATGATTTACCCAGAAATCCAGGCAATATACTGTTAGGATAATGAGTCTTGAGAGCACTGTGAAGACCCCATATGACATTATGTCCATCTGGCGACTGCCTGCCACAAAGGACTAGTCCAACCCTGTAGGGCTAGAAGACGCGGAGCTTCAACACGTGACGATTGCATTGAATGAAACAGAACCATAGTTGCCCATATGATAGAGGTAAGACAGAAATATCTATCTATCTATACATAATAATATTATGACAATTCAAAAGTAATTGTTTGCCACCTAAGCACTTGGAGAGCTCACAAATTGCCAAGGTGGACAATATTTTTACAAAAAAAAAAAATAGTTATTGATATATTTATGGAGCTATCTCTTTCTTCAATTAATATTTCATTTTCCTTTTATCTTTTTTTGTATTATATCAATGTACACAATAATAAATAATGTATGAAAAGTTACATATATTACATTTGTTATCTCTAACTTTTTTAATATTTATTTTTCTTTTCCAATACTTCCTTTATGTTTTTGTTTTTACTTTTGCATTGTATAGATGTACGCAACAATAGACTAATGTCTTTGAGTCACACATATAACTTTTTTCTCAACCAAACAAATATCTTATTAAAGCTCACTAAGTAAATTTTTAATTCACTTTTACAATAATTTACAAATATGTTACATTTTGATGAACAATTTATACAAACACACATACATAATAACATTTTATCGCGACAAAATTACGATGGAAATTAAAGAGAGAAAACAAGAAACGTTTGAATAGAAACTTGACCAAGCAATAAAATCTATTTCTTAAACAAAAACCTTATTCATTCTAATTAATTGAAAAAATATGAATCATAGGTGCAATAATTTACAATGTATCCTAAGTTCAAATTACTAATATTTTGCATTTTTGCTCTAGATCGTGTTAATTTAACCAGGGTTCAAGAAGGCGCGCCTAGGCGCACGCCTAGGCTCAATTAGGCGCTAGGCGGTGGAGGATCGCCTTGACTTGGCCATAGGCGTTCTAAAAGGCGCTGGTAGCGCTTAGTAGGTAGGAATAGCGCTTAGTTTGCGCCTAGTGGAGAGAAGGCGTGCCTGGGCGTTCCTGGGCGAGCTTAGGAGGTTAAACCCAATACTCTTCGTTTTGTCCTAGAAAATCATAAAATTGCCTCTTGCCCTAGAAAATCAGAAACACGGGAAGGGGATGACCATGCTATGTATGTATTCGTAGATGAGGATGAGGAATCATATTGTGCACCCTCGAGTACTGTTATAGATGCAATGGCGGGTGAACAGAGTGAGCTTCGCAGGAGTGCACAAGTGAGAGAGCTCCATGATGAAGAATTAGAGTCTGAAGAGGAGGAAGAGGAGGATGGTGAGGAGATTGCTTTTGAGAATGATGAAGATGAAGTGGTGGCTGGACGGACCTACTTGGATGATGAAGAATGAACATTTTCCTATGAACTTAGTGACTATTGTTTAGTATTTTGACATTTTATGAACTTGTGATTCTAGGAAGTGGTCACTATTTGCTTGTTATTTGTTATGTTAAGTGTTTACTGTTAAGTACTAGGCATTGCTAATTTTATATGCACTTGGATTATATGAATTATTCCAGAAAACAGGAAATATTTGAGAACTTTTTCCATTTATGCTGTGAACGCCTAATCAGGCAAG